CTGTCCATGGGATTCTCCAGGCAAGAACACTGGAGTGGGTTGCCTTGCCCTCCTCCAGGGGATCTTCTGACCCAGGGATTGAACCCGTGCCTCTTAGTCTCCTGCATTGGCAGGCAGGTTCTTTACCACTGGCACCACCTGGTGTGTCTGATACAGGTTTCATAAAAGGTGAAGTGGTTAATTTTTAGTGATTCTGCCTGCTTTGGCTTGGATTAGCACTTTATAATTTTGTGATAGAGGGTGGAATGTTAAGTCTTTGAAGTTGATAGAATTACGATTCTTAGTATGATTTTCTTGATAACCAGCAAAGATACCACTGCCCCCAGGAAGAAGAGTAATTAAAAGCCTCACCGCAGTAACCTAAATAATGATGACAGTGGTCATTAATCAGAACATTCTGGTGGTATTTACATTTGCATTGTGCTGCCTCAGTAAAGACACAGCACAAGCCCAAGCTCAGGACTGGTTTGTGTCATGGGCAGCACAGGACAATCCCGGGTTTTGACAGCTCCACGGAGCTCTTGGAGAAGCTTGTTTCGGTTCTGAAGATGCCCTGTTCATGTTATCAGTGGGCCAGGTTGAGTCCAGTCTAATGAAGATCCTTCCATGCCTTCGTCCACAACCCAAGGGTACACTCTGTGTCACGTGCTCTTGTGACCGCTCTGAGGATGAAGGGCACATGTAGTCTTCAGGGCCTGTCTTCACAGTGGATTTTGGGAGAATGAAGTCGCCAATGACATTCCCAAGGTTTAACCAGGTAAACCCAGACAGAGGTGTTTTGGGGAATTGGGGAATGGATTTTTTTTTTTTTTCTTGTGGAGGTAAATTTCTTTTATATTTGAGGCATTTTGAAAACATGCTGGTGTACATATCTGAGACAGGGTCAAGTCAGAAGGAACTCCTGTGTTGGGAGCAGTTCAGCCTTTGTAGGACTGATGTTCTCTGTAAGAAGAATCTCAGGAGTGGGGGTTGAATCCTGACTGCCCCTGACTGCCCCGTGACCTTGGGAAGTCATTTCACCTTTGAACCTCTTTCATTACCTGGTAAGCGTGGATTATGGTCTCTTCCTTATGAGGATATTGTGAAGATTAAATGAAATAATGTCTGTGAAGCTACCTAGCACAGAGCAGGTTCTCGATCCTTATTAGTTTCTGACTTCCTGCTCTTGCTGGTTTCATTACCAGGAGTAAATTGCTTGCTTGGCTAGTGTCACTGCCTTTGTTTTCTCGTGTGTTCAGAAATCCCTGGAGCTGCTTCTTTGCATCTTGAACTGTAGATTTTTGCAGAGCAGCTTTTTGGAAAACCCAGGCTCAGGAAGGTTATCACATCCCATGGATTGATTAAAAGTAAACCTGGGACTAAAACCCAAGCCTCAGGACTCCAGTCCTTTCCACCAGGCCAGGGTTATTGGTCGTGCTTTCTGCTTTTCTGAGAGGTGTGGGCATGGGAGATATATGCTTTGACTTTTTTATTGACTCTGAAGTTACCAGCATTTGGAGCAGTATCTCATAAAGCTTCAAGTAATTTAGCATGCATAAACTCAGTTCATATAATGAGCTATCATTATGCACGTTAGCTTGATTTTTTTTTTTTTTTTTAAAGCAGCTTACCAAACCCTTAGGGCAGAGCTGCCTGTAAACTGATTAATGACTTCAGAATAATTGCACTGCTGTCAGGAAATTGTATGACTTTGAATGGTAATATCCTTTTGTGTTATAATTTTAAAGGTGGTGAATCATATTTTTGGCTGATATAATTATCCCCCCCCATTTAAAATGTAATTACCATAAAGTATTAAATTTTGACGCAGTTTGATACAGGCTTTGATTTAGTTCATATTCTAGAAGAATGGTGTCTGGACTTTCTTGGAATTTATGTACCTGCTTGTCGATATCCACGCTGTTTCATTTCTTGTGTTTTTCTCCCCTTGTTTTGTAAGGCAGACCATTCGGGGGGCATCTTTTCTGTTACTTCTAAAAGCCTCTAAGACTGTCTTCTTAGCATGCAAAGAACACTTCTAAATCAGGGACTAAGAAAAGAATGACAGTCCAGTAGAAAAAATAGTGACTTTATGTAATAGGATGACACCCGGTCTCTTAATCACATGAGTCCAAGAGGTGAAGGGTGCACACGCTGGCCCCAGGTGGCATGACGTCAGGTCCCGAATCTTCCACTTACTAGTTTGAGCAGACTCTTAAAATCCCTTTGTCTCCATTTCCTTGTCTGTCCAGTGAGGATTAAATGAATTAGTAAATGTAAAATAACTTGGGACAGTATTTGGCACACAGTACTCAAGAAGTGTTAGCTGTTGCTATGATTGTGATTATTAAAAAAAAAAATTATCCCAACCTCACTCATCCTAAAAGAAATTCAAGTTTAAACAAAGCTGAGACACGTGAAAATACTCCGTGAGCAAGGGTGCAGGTGGAGGGCAGTGCCGCGTGTGGGTGATTCTTTTATATTAAAATATTGGCACTGCTTTCAGTCAGCTTAGTCGCTCAGTCATGTTCGACTCTTTGCGACCCATGAACCGCAGCACGCCAGGCCTCCCTGTCCATCATCAACTCCTGGAGCTCACCCAAGCCCATGTCCATCAAGTCGATGATGCCATCCAACCATATCATCCTCTATCATCCCCTTCTCCTCCTACCCTCAATCTTTCCCAGCATCAGGGTCTTTTCCAATGAGTGAGTTTTTCGCATGAGGTGGCCAAAGTCCTGGAGTTTCAGCTTCAACCTCAGTCCTTCCAATGAACACCCAGGACTGATCTCTTTTAGGATGGACTGGTTGGATCTCCTTGCAGTCCGAGGGACTCTCAAGAGTCTTCTCCAACACCATAGTTCAAAAGCATCAATTCTTTGGCGCTCAGCTTTCTTTATGATCCAACTCTCACATCTTTACATGACTATTGGAAAAACCATAGCCTTGACTAGACAGACCTTTGTTGGCAAAGTAATTGTCTTGGCTTTTTAATATGCTGTCTAGGTACTGCTTTAGCAGAGGAGACTTTAAAATAGCTGTTAAAAGTAGAAGAGCTATTAGATTTTGACCCTGCTGTTCCACTTTTAGGGATTCATCTTAGAAACATATATTAAAAAGACATGTTATGTATGTGAGCAGTAGTTTCAGTGTTGTTCATGTTAGCAACAGACTGGTAGTGACTGATCTGTTTCTGGCGGGAGACATTTAAATTGTTAAATGCGTATAATGAAATGTGCTGTGGAGCCACCAAAGAGAGATGATGTACGTGTGTTAATGATTCCAAAGATGTACTATTACGGGGAAGGGGAAGCTTTCACACCCACACCCCAACACCCGCCAGGTAAGTCTGCACTGTCTCTGGAAGGAATTAGAATCAACTGTGGTAGCAGTTGCCTTTGAAGAGAGGGTCAGGGAGGGGTGGTAGGGAGACTGACTTTCCTGTATTTTGTATCATCTGAAACAGAAAAATGTTAACATGCCTAAGTGTTAGTTTTTCCCCTCTCTGAAGTTCTTTATGTGCTCCCACCAGCACACACACACACAGATGTGTGTGTGCATGTACATATACCGTCACACACACTTTTCAGAACAAATGTTAGTCCAGGTGTCCGACTGTGTGGTGATAAGAACCAGCCCATGCTGGTGGTGGTGAATACTTACTGAATATGCACTGTAATCCTTGGGGCGTTGCAAGCATCTTACCCTTCTCATCCAAGCAGGTGCTGATGAGAAAAACCTCCCTGGGTGGTGGAAACTGAGGCCCTGGCTAAGTAAGCCCAAGACCCAGGGCTCTCCTATAGTTGCTGGAAGAGGTGCTGGGGCCAAAAAGACCTTGACTTGTGTGCCTGTTTTTAGAGATCTGAGAAGAGTGAGTTGAAAGGACCACCAAGAGTTCTGTGCCTTGTTAGGAAACCCTGGATGTGTCTATCAACTCTTTGATTCTATTTCAGTTTCCAGAGGTGAGAGCCAGACTGGAAACTCACGTGGCTTGATAGATTTTTGTGCTTTGTGCAACCCCCTGGAATTTCTAGAAATACTTTTGAACCTTCAGAGAATTGGAGCTATTAACCAAGATTCTTTGTGTGAAACTTCTTGAACAGATCAAATGTAGAGTTTTACGGAAATTGGTACATATCTCTACCTTGTATAGGATGCTCTTTAATCTGATTGCTACTTGCTTGAAGGCTGTAGTTATCAACTCTGACACCATGATGAGGGTGAATTGGCTTATCCTTGTGTGTGTAGCATTTCTCAGTGTGAAATGCAGTGTGGTCTGTATATATGTAGAAAAGATAGTCATATAAATTACGCATTGAATATGGTACTTTCTTTTATGGTTTCATCCAGTAAATCTTAGGCTACTGCTTCTTAATATTTTTGCCACTCCAGGCTGTTGAGGGATGTTCCATTTCTATCAGTAAACAGTGGCTCATTTGGGCAGTGATTTTTCTACAAGGGACCCAGGGGTCTTTTAGGGTATCCTGGGGGCAGTAGTGGAGAGTGGGAGGGTAGAGATAAATGATTCTGATTTTTATAACACACACACACATCTCGTAGTAGATGAGAATTAACTCTCTTAGACAAATGAATATTGTAACCTTTAACTTTATCTCATTACCCTCGAGGCAGAAATACCTGATAAAACCTTGATTTCACTAGCTGGCATGTCTTCTCTCCATTTATGCGCTGTCAGATTGCACATAAAACATGTTCGTGACTGATGAGCCCAGACTTGTAAGCGGACAAGACAGACAGCCGGTTCTAGCCGGTGGTTCTTCTCATTACAGGAAAAGGCACAGCTTCGAAGGTGGAGGAAGGATTGGACACGGTGCTGGGGAACGTGGGCCATCCATTGAACCGAAAGTAGGTGGTTTATTCTGAAATCAGCTTCTGTTTCCTCTTTATCAATGTGGTCTTTTTCTGTTTCAGCGAGTGGCTGTTTAATCTCTTCTGGAACCCTCTGGTTTGTTACAGCAGAGATGTCGGCTCCTTTGTAGGAATTACTTGAAGCCAGAGTCATGGTGGACGTGGGCAAGTGGCCCATCTTCACCCTGCTGTCGCCTCAGGAGATCGCGTCCATCCGGAAAGCTTGTGTCTTCGGCACCTCAGCCAATGAAGCACTCTATGTCACTGACAGCGATGAGGTGGGCCTCTCCCAAACCCTAGAGCTTCCTTCCAGGGCTTTCCGGGAGGTGGGGTCTGCCATGCGCAGACTGAGAAAAAAGGAGGGCAGAAAGAGAACCTGAAATCCAAAAAGATGGTGTGTCTTTGATGTAATTTGTCTTTTCCTTCAGTTTCTTGATTTAATGCCCCTCATCCCTGCTGCCCTTCGAGTTTCATTGCTTGTTGCTCAGGAGCTTGGTCGTGTCTGGGTGACCCCCTGGACGGCCGCATGCCAGGCTTCCCTGTCCTTCACCATCTCCCGGAGTTTGCTCACACTCATCTCTGTTGAGTCAGTGATGCCAACCAACCACCGAATTTCACGGTACAGCCAGATATTATAAAACTTAAGTAGGCAGCAGAGGTTGAATTTTAACAGCTGTATCAGCCCCTACCTATCTGCTGAACGGTCAAGCTGAGCTGAAGCGCGTCTTGTGTTCAGGGTGGAGAAGGGACCCTTTGTGCAGCTATAGCCAAGTGACTCAGTCAGAACTGTTTGTCTCCCAGGTCTTTGTATTTGGACTGAACTACAGTAACTGTTTAGGAACTGGAGATAACCAGAGTACACTTGTACCCAAAAAGCTGGAAGCCTTATGTGGAAAGAAGATTAAGAGTCTTAGTTATGGGAGTGGACCCCATGTTCTTCTCAGCACTGAAGGTAAAGTGGCAACAAGTTCAGCTTCTTCTGTTTGTGGGAAATCGAGTGATTAATTCTAAGCTAAAAGGAGGTAGAGCTGTGCCACATACTGAGTTTCAAATGTTTTGTTTCTTATTTCTGAGCGGAAGTACATAAAGCCGGTGAAAGTTACTAAACACTTCAGGCTCTGCTTGGAACAGCTGTCAGATGACTTTCATTTTAACCAAACTTCTCAGGTTTTAGACGGCTTCTGTCAAGTTGTGGAAGATGAACCGCAGCAGACGAAGTGGCCCTTCAGCCCAGTTTTCAGCGAGCTTTGTTGTAAGCATGGCAATGTCCAGGTTTTACTTGATACGTTTTTAAAAACACAGGTGATACTGGTTTTGCTTTGCCAGTGTCATTTCGGAATCTTGAATTCAAGAAGTCTCAGTTCATTTCCTGGCATTCATATGGCTGTCTTATAGAAAAAAGGTGGGGTAGATTCTTCCTGCCTCCCCGAGACCCCCAGAGAGGCCTCTGTACTTCCCAGGCTACAGATCTGCACCGTGGGCGCCCGGAACTCCCCGAGTCTGTCATACACAACCTGGCTTCTTCCCTCCACACTTTAGGCATATGAGTTCTTGCTCTCTAGCTTTTTGTTGGGTAAACTGTAGGGTGCGCGTGGGAGCATTTGCGTCTCTGCCTTTCTGACTCTAGCCTGGGGAATCATGGCTTCCTTGGATGTAACCACTGGTCTTAGTATTGAGCTTTTTAGTTGCCTCTGACCCCCACTGGAATCCAGCTGGGTTCTCGGCATCTTCCTCAGGCTATGAGGTCCAGATGTGAGCATGACTGTCTAGTGAGAGTGTAACCGGCATGGAGCATAATGAGGTGATTATTCCGCCTCTGAGTTGTGTGATCCTGCCTTCTGGCATCACATGGGCCCTTTCAAGCAGCTGCTTCTTTGCTGGCTGGCTCAGCTTGTCATCCATTGTGACCTAATGGTTTAATGTTTTCCTGACGCATTAATTTTTTAATGCAGCAATTGACTTCCTACCGTAAAATAGTGAAGCGTTTTTTTTTCAAGAGCAAACATATTAAAACATGTGCATGACCTTGGCAGACTATTAACTTTTGGAATTATTTTTGGAGTTCAGATCCTGCAGTTTTAAATATCTTGAATGTTATAATTAAGATATACATAAGCAGAAAGCACAGAAATAAGTAACTGATTTTCTTGTGGGAGTAGTCTTCTTTTTGTGTTTAATTCAGTTTTGATTGTTCTAATACATTTTACATAACATATATATGATACGTGATATATAGCATGTTTAATGTATGTATAATATATACATTTGTGTGTATTTTGTATCTATCTCAAGTAGTCGTATAGTTCAAAAACAATTTAACACCTTAAACCATCAGTGTATGACTTTTAGTAAAAACCAGCACTCAGTTTCATCCATCCTTACTCTTAAAAACCACTCCTTTTAAACTCCTTCAGGTGTTTTTTTCTGACTTTTATTTATTTATTTTTTTTCTGACTTTTAATCTCATGTTTTTAAATTAATATGCTTATGCTGTTGGTTTTGAATTTTAATTTTAGACCTTATCCGTTGACTTTATGTAACAGCAGATAGAATTAGCACTCTTTCTAATTAGCCTGATTGGCCTTCCTTCTCAGAGAAGGCAATGGCAACCCAGTCCAGTACTGTTGCCTGGAAAATCCCATGGATGGAGGATCCTAGTAGGCTGCAGTCCATGAGGTCGCAAAGAGTCAGACATGACTGAGCGACTTCACTTTAACTTTTCACTTTTTACTTTCATGCATTGGAGAAGGAAATGGCAGCCCACTCCAGTGTTCTTGCCTGGAGAAACCCAGCGATGGCAGAGCCTGGTGGGCTGCCGTCTATGGGGTCGCACAGAGTTGGACACGACTGAAGCGACTTAGCAGCAGCAGCAGCCTTCCCTCTGCTTCTCCTGTTAGTATAGTGATGTCATCACGTCACCATGTTCAGTTTTCACACTCCTGGGACTCGAAAAGTGTTATTCGTTGCTGAGCCATTTTCCTTTCTTACACAGCTGTTTGCCTTCCTGGTCTTACTTTTCTCCCCATCTGTCATTAACATGAGCCTGAACTCCGCTGTATCGCAGTGTTGCTTCTGGGCACCTCGGAGCCCATCAGGCCGCTCCAGGTCACCCTGTCCCCCGGCTCCAGCCTGGACTGGTCACTCTAAGCTGTTGCACACCTGTTGTGCTAGATCTTCATTTCACCATCATCCTCTGAAGTCACTTCACCTTTGTCCTTTCTGAATCGCCTACGTTTTGTGTCCTGTGTCTTCCTCCTTGGATTATAGCCTCATGTGGGTGAGACACATTTTCTAGTAGCTTCCCAAGAAAGGGATATGAGAGAAGTCTTTGAGACACCATCTTAAAATGCCTTAATCTTCCCCAGGCAATTGATCCATGACTTGTCTGCACAAAAAAGACAAAACAACAACAAAACAGCATTTCCGTTCCAATCCTTTAATAGTATTTTGAGCATTTGCCTCTACTACCTGGTAGGCAGAGCTCAGTCCAGAGTAAAGGGTCTCTTCCTGGTTGGGTCCATTTATAGCCCCTGAGGCCACTTGCGTTGTTCCAGCGTAACCTAATCCCCTTGCCAGCTCTGTTTGGGGGCATTTTCCCCATAGCCCTGCAGTCTTTCTTGTTGACAGAATGGTTCCTGTGCCTGCATTTTGTGCCTCTCAGGTGCAAGAGGAAGATGTCTAGATTCAATGCATCTCTGAAGCCCCCCACACTGACTCATTTCATGGCCCCGGGAGGCCACCCCAAGAGAGTGCACCAGATGGTCACCTGGTGGTTCCCATCACCTTGTGATGGGCATCGACACGTCCTACTTTGATGCGCCTCTTTAATTCTCAGAGTGATCGCATAGGGCCGCGCCCTTGTGGGCGTCCCTTTTCCAGTCCAGTTTCCATTGCCTGTCCACCTGACCACACAGCCAGGCCATTGGCTGTAGCCGGTGAGTTGGTAAAGACCTGACCACAGGGGCTTTTCTGATCGTTCAGGTCTTGCGTCACTGCTGGGAAAACAGCCTGCAGTTCAGCCACTGAGCTGATTGTTCTTGCCTCCTGCAGCCAGTCTTGCCATCCACTGGTTTTAATGTGGCCACTTTCCAAACGGGAGAGTGTCCATTTGCCATGAAACTGCGTCTGTAAGGCCAGCAGCTCTTGGTTGCTCGGTTAGAGCTTCACAGGGCATGTCCATAAGGCAGTGGGTTCTAGCAGCTTCTCAGCCCGCTCCAGAGTTGGTCCTCAATGAACAGAGGCTGCCTGCTTCATGATACAGCAGGCACCTCTGCACCTTACCCCAGCAGCACGCCCCCTGGGTAAAACATTTCCGTTTTATTTTGAAACCCTCTGGGCACTGCCTTCCTTACTAGAGTGCCTCTCCAACACCACCCAAGATGTTGTGGGTATCTCAGGTTTCATGATTATTTTATGTCTTTCAGTCATTGAGGGAATCTCAGTTACCGCCCAGGCTACTGATTTCCTCTCAAATGGTGAGCACCAGGCAGCAGCATCTGGGAAATTTCTGGTCTGAAATCCCAGTGGTCACTGCTGGGGGTGCTCTGGGTAGGCTGTAAGCTCCTGGTGCAGAGTGCAGGTGGCGGATGCTCTCAAGGTCATGTCTGAGTCAGTGCCTTCCCACCCTTCAGCAGTGAGAGAGCTGCCACCCTCTGCTAACTCAGACATACCTGCTCTCATGCGAGACCCCACTTAGATCCAGCTGTCTTTCAGGTAATCTTACAGATGGGGGTTCCCTGCTGGCTTAGTGTTGAAGAATCCACTTGCCAAGCAGGAGATGCAGGCTCAGTCCCTGGGTCAGGAAGATCCCGTGGAGAAGGAAACGGCAACCCACTCCAATATTCTTGCCTTGGAAATCCCATGGACAGAGGAGCCTGATGGGCTACAGTCCATGCAGTTGCAAAGCATCGTACACGACCGAAGTGATTTAAAAAAGCCTGCTGTTTGTCCCCAGAAACCATCTGCCTTTCCCGCAGGCCACTGGGCAAGCTTCAATCGTTCAGCGAGTTCATTGGTCCCAGCGCCCCAGCTTGAATTACAGTGATGAACTCTTCTTACCCACGGGATGTTCTCTCTTTAAACACCTGTTTGGGCTCAGGCATTCTAAGGGTTCCCATCCAGTGCCCAGTTAAAACTGGCCTGAGGGTGGATTTCCACGCCTCATTTTAGGTAGGGGAAGCAGTGCCCAGTCAGAACTAATATCCATCCAATAGTACCTTCAGGTAAGAGAGACGGGACCACCTCACACAGAGTCTGTTCCAAAACCCCAGTTTCCATCCAGACTGTCACTTGACTCCCGTCCACTGTTGCCCGTCCACATCCTCCCATTTTAAGCTTGGCTGTTAAGACTTCACCTGCAGGCTGTGGAATCACAGTGTGCTGGTCCTCTCTCCCCCTGGCTGTTTCACTCACTTATGCCTTTGGGTGCCTGGCCAACAGTGGGGCCAGAAGATCCTGGCCTTTAGGTCAGGCTTTATCTTGATTCATCTTCCTTATCCTTGCCCCCAGGGCATTCCTGGTCAATTTTCTTATCTTAATCATTACCTTCTAGCTTTTTGGAAAGTGAAAAGTTGCTCAGTTGTGTCTGACTTTTTGTGACCCCATGGACTGTAGCCCACCAGGCTCCTCTGTCCATGGGATTCTCCAGCAAGAATACTGGAGTGGGTTGCCATTTCCTTCTCCAGGGGATCTTCGCAACCCAGGGATTGAACCCATTGGGATTGAATACAGGTGTCTCCTGTATTAAAGGCAGATTCTTTACCGTCTGAGCCACCAGGGAAGCCCTTCTAGCTTTTTAAATGCCTTTAAAACTGGGATAAATAGAGTCGACTTGTTTGGGGCCCTTCAGAGTTAGAGACCAACACGGGGTCCCTTTGGTCCAGCAGACTGTGACAGTGCCATAGTCATCCCTTGGCTTCAGTTCCATCAACATCCCTTTTATTGATCCCACTCGATAATTGAAGACTTTTATTCTGCCGGGTTGGGTCCCTTGCCCCCCCTTTGTCTTTCTCCATTTTCATAATTCCTTTCATGTTCTCGGTAAGATCCATATGACGAAGTTGAGATAGCATATTGGATAAGGCTTCTCAAACTATTTGATTTTGTATTCAGAGGTGGATACCCCAGGTGTCATAAAGCCAGTCCCACATGGTTTGCGTCTCAGCTGCTTCATCTGAGATGTTCCATTTGCCATTAATAGGGGGAGTTGGGAATTCCGTCTTCTCAGGATAAACACACTACCGTGGCTTTTATCCAGTCCACCACCCTGGCAGTCTCCTTAGGAATAACCTCCTGGGTCATGCACAGCCATGTGTGATGGTTCAGTAAAGAGTGGTGGGTCCTGCCTCAACCCACACATGCTCTTCCAGCCTGCAGCCTTGAAAACCACAGACACACCCCTTATGTCAGTTACACGCACAGCTGGTGTCAGTAAAGGTTCCTCAGGAAGCTGGTGACATCAGCCCTCAGAATGAGCCAGTTCCTGCACACCATACCCTCTGCTTTTGGTTGTTTCTTGGTTTCCCCTTCCCCACGTTAACTATTTTCTCAGTAGACTCAGAGGTATTAGAGGTACTTTCCGTTGCTCCTACATAATTTTCTCGGCAGCTTTGAGGCAAATGGCTGAAGTACAGATTGACACAAATCTGAGCTTGAATCAACATCAAGGGCCCCACCCAGCAGTTACTTTTATTTTCATTTCAGCTGTTATATATGCAATAAGCAGGAAATTGTTCATTTAGCGTGCTTATTTTGCATTTCCTTATGTATCTGTTGAGCCAGTTCCTTAGGAGTTGGCTCTACTCCCATTTCTAAATTGCGTTGGTAAATTTGACCTTTGGTATCTGATCACAGCACGGCTGCAGTTTCGTACCAGGGTGACTAGGTAGCTATCTGGGAGTCAAAGTTTCCTCATTCTTTGTTCTTTAATCTCTTTGTCTTCAAAAAACAAATGTCTCTGAGCCATTTGCAGACTGTTTTGCAAATCCTATTCCTGACATCAACTAAATAGAGAGTTCTTGGTTGCAGTGTGTGTGTGTGTGTGTGACAGAGAGAGAGAGAGAGAGAGAGAGAGAGAGACAGAAAGTGTTAGGTAATTCCTAGACCCAATCTATGTGCGTGTGTGTGTGTGTATAGGCACTCCCACACCAAGAAGTAATGCTTGGATATTATCAGAGTGTCCAGGAATTCCACACAATTCTGATGCTATCTACTCAGAGATAGAATCAGATCGCACAGGTAAGAGGCTCAGTCCCATGACACCACCCTCTACTGGAGATGCTGGTCTCCAGCCCAGGTTGTTACTTGTGCTTCTGATTAACCGGCTACAAATCCCAGGTTCCCTCCACCTCTCCTTGGGCTTTGTGGGTTTTTGTTTTTGTTTTTTTTTTTCACCATTCCATGTGGCATGTGGGATCTTAGTCCCCGACCCAGGGATCAAACTCAGACCCCCTGCAGTGGAATCCTAACCACTGCAGATTCCTAACCACTGGACCACCAGGGAACTTGTGCTTTGGATTGGATTAATTTGCTGGAATGACTCAAGGAACTCCAGAAAATTGATTTACTCATTAGATGACTGATTATTATAAAAGGATATGAATCAACAGCCTGAATAAAGGAGCCTTCATCCTTGTAAGGCCTGGTGCCCTACACAATGGCATGTGTAAGTGTTCTGGTTCTCCGATATGAAAACACTCTGAAAAGGCCAGAAAACTGTCCCCTGAGGTTCTTATGGAGGCTCCCTTATGTAGTCATGACGGCTAAGTCATTGGCATTGGCAGTTGATTCAGCTTCCAGCCTTCTCCCCTCCAACCCACTTACCTTGTGGTTGGTTCTCCTGGCAATAGAGATGCCAGGAGATAATGTTCTTATTATCAAAAGATGCCCTCATCATTGTCAGCTCTAAGGAGATTCCTCCGGTTTTGGGAGCTGCGAGCCAGGGACTGTGGATGATGACCATATATACAAGAGCAATGTATTTTTGTAATCTGGATGATCAAATATATAATTCTTACAAATCACAACGTCACTAGAAGAAGTAAAGGTTGGAACACGAGTTGTACAGCGCCTGGGAGGAAAGTTCCGGGCCGGCTGTCTCTTCTCTGAGCTGACTGTGTGTGTGTGGCCCCCCTTGTGTAGATGGAGTCGTGTATGCCTGGGGCCACAATGGCTACAGCCAGCTTGGGAATGGGACAACCAACCAAGGCCTGGCACCCATCCAGGTCTGCACCAACCTCTTGATCAAGCAAGTGGTTGAAGTAGCTTGTGGCTCGCATCATTCAATGGCTCTGGCAGCTGATGGAGAGGTAAGTGCCCTGCTCTTACGCTTTGTTTTTACTTTTATTTATCTATTTTTTATTTTGGGGGGGCCATTCCTCAAGGTATGGGAGATCTTAGTTCCCTTACTGGGGATCAAACTCATGCTCCCTATAGTGGAGGTGGGAAGTCTCAACCACTGGAGTGGCAGGGAAGTCCCTCGCTTATTTCCCTGTAGCTCAAACGGTAAAGAATCTGCCTGCCATGCAGGAGACCTGTGTTCAATCCCTGGATTGGGAAGATCCTCTGGAGAAGGAAATAGCAACCCATTCCAGTATCCTTGCCTGGAGAATCCATAGACAGAGGAGCCTGATGAGCTACAGTCCATGGGGTTGCAGAAAGTTGGACACGACTGAGCAACTAATACACACAAAAGACACATAAAAGTTACCATCTTAACCATTTTTAAGTGCTCAGTTCAGTGACATTAAGTACATTCACGTTGTTTTGCAACCATCACCACCATCCATCCACAGCACTGTTCATCTTGCAGAACTGACCTCTGTGCCCATTAAACATTAACTCTCTTCTTTCTTTTAGTCCCAGCCCCTGGCAACCCCCATTCTGCTTTCTAAGAATTTGATCCCTCTAGGTACTTCCTATGAGTGAAATCACAGAGTACTTGTCCACTGTGACCACCTTATTTCACTTAATGTCCTCAAGGTTCATCCATGTGGCAGCACATGGCGGATTTTCATCCCTTTATAAGGCTGACAGTGTTTCATTGTTTATCTGTTTTGTTTATCCATTTGTCTATTGATGAATATTTGGATCATTTCTACCTTTGGCCATGTGAAAGTGCCTTCCTTTTTTTTTTTTTTAAAAAAGACCATATTTGTACTTGACTTGAATATGGTGTGAACATAGCTGCTCTGGGTGCATAGCTAAAACCACTGTGAGAACAAGCTCCTTCTCTAACACAGCCTGCGTTGTGTGATCTGGAGCACTCTTTTGAAGACAGTAGACTGAATTCTTAAGGCAGTTGAGTCTCTTGCTTTTGCTTGGATTACAAATTAGATGTGTATGACAGTGTTCTGTACTGTGGTTTTTTTAATGACCTCTCCCCTCCCCGCCCCCGGTCTATTTTGTTTTTCAGTAAATGTAGTGATGTCATAGCATCACTACCAACACTCCAGTAGGTTCTGTACAGCCTGATTTCCTGCCCCCCCCACCAAGTTCCATGCATATCTTAAATGTTACTCATCCCGTTGGTTCTATCTTCTAGTCTTTTGTGCCATTTCGTTCCCCTTCCATCACCTTAGGTCGGGCTTTGCCATCTCCTGGACTGTTGCCATGGTCTCTTCTGTTTCATAGCTTTTATCCTTTTTTAAAATATTTATTTAGTTATTTGGCTGTGCCGGATCTTGGTTGCAGCATGCGAGAACTTTAGCTGTGGGATGTGGGATCTGGTTCCCTGGCCAGGGATCAAACTCGGGCCCCCTGCACTGGGAGCGCAGAGTCTTCGCCACTGGCCCACCAGGGCAGTCCCTATCCCATAGCTTTTACATTGGTCTAAACTGTGCAGTATAACTTCTCTGCCCACTGTGTCTTCCGAAATAAAAGTCAGATCCTGTTGGTCCCTGTTTAGTCCTTCAGAGGCGTTAGAGTGATTTCACTCAGTGGGGCAGGTTACAGCTGAGGAAACCAGAGCAGCTGTGAGATAAAGTTTTCGTGGCTGGAATGTGCTAGAGCCAGGCCTCGCACACAGCCCTGGTGCACGGAATCCACTGTTCCCAGTCTGTTTCTTGGTCAGTGGAACCCCAGTCCCCATTTTTTAAAAACAAAAGGCAACTGCTTTGGAAGAGAACTTGGGCTATTTGAAAAGAAGTGCAGAAGAATGACGGTTAAAATTAGAACTTGCTAATTGTGCAGCCTGCATTCCTGGTTTATTGTAATCTTAAGCATATGCTACTCCGGGTAATTGGTAAATATAAATATTTACACTAGCTGTTCCTCTGAATCTTTCAGGGTTATTTCTTTTTGTGCCTGTGAAATGAACCTATACCATATATACTTTTTAAGACCTCAGCCGTGAGTTTCAAGACAGTACATGGGCAGCCTCAGACATGTGATCTTAGGTAGAAAATGCTGACAGAGGAAAGAACAGAGACTCATGGAAGCCAGAACTCAGGATGTGTGAGGACCACTTGCCACAGGCCAGTGAGAGGAGTCCTCACAGATCTTCCTAGTGATGGAGGAAATTATCTCTTCTGCTGCCAGCATCTGCCCTTGGCTGACTCTTCTCTCTGGCCACACTCTTGTTTGACAAGCTCAGTTAATAATTAACTTGAAGGGATTTTCATTTTGTTTTTCATCTTTAGCTTAGAGATCCATTTGTGTCTCTCTCCATTGGAAATATGGTTTTCAGGCTATGGCTGATCACAGGCCAGAAGTAAACAGGATGCAGTTGAGGAGGGGAGCTGCTTGGAGATGACGGCAAATGAGGACTCAGAAAACATTATCAAGAACAACTCAACATTCTAAAGCAGTAGTCCTACAGTTAAAAATAATAATAATAAAAAAAAAAAAGAATTTCTTAACAACCCCATGTCATTCCTGTAGGGACAAGCATCTCCTTAATACTTATGAGCCTGACTGTGTTAGGAAGTGGAACTGTGATTAATAATTATATTGATGGTGGGCTTGTGTCATCAGGAAGGGTATATAGTATCTCCCACTGGTGATTAATGAGATAGAGGAAAGTAAGTATTGTTTTGAAGGACTTCCATGGGGAAAAAAAAAAGACTATACCCAAAGAGTTAGGCTGATTTTTTTCATATCACTGATACTTATGTGGCACATCCTCATTTCCTTTGGATGCCAGATTTAAAAACCATAAAGAACTACTAAAATTATAGTGGCAGTATAACAGTGTGGAGAGCACCGCTAGATTGCTTGGGTTCATATTAGCAGTAAATCACATTTACTCGCTGTGGAATCTCAAGCAAGTCACTTAACCCCTCTGTGTTCCCATTTACATGTATAAAATGGGGATGATAATAGTATTAATGCCTACCCCAGGGTCGTCTTACAGGCTTACTGTGAGGATTAGATGGGTTCCTGTGTGTGAAGCACTTAGGACCGTTAGCACACTGCAAGGACTCATTCAGTCGGTTTATTTTTGTTTAATGATGATTATTATGTGTGAGAATTTTGACCCTTACTCTTCTTTCTTTGTTTTTTTCTCCTTCTGTTGTGTAGGTATTTGCTTGGGGCTATAACAACTGTGGCCAGGTGGGGTCAGGGTCCACCGCAAATCAACCAACTCCTCGGAAGGTGACAAACTGTTTGCATGTTAAGAGGGTAGTTGGCATCGCCTGCGGTCAGACCTCATCCATGGCTGTTCTGGACAATGGTGAGGTGAGTGGTCTCTGTACCCACCTTTCTCCTGTCCTTTTCTTTATGAGGTTTGGGTTTAGATCATGGAAGGAAGAGTGCTCTGATTTGATAGCTCCATGGATAGTTAACTGATAGAGGTGTAATCACAGGCTGTTTGCTCCTCATTATGAATTTTTAAGTTCCAAGGTTTATCTGCAAGTAGAAGTTCAAATGTGTTTTTGCCAGATCCACATAGCCCGATGCTTATAGGCATTTGTTTGTAATTTAGTGTAGTAGATGAAAGAATTTGATGTTACCTCTTTCTTCTTATGAAAGAGGACTCTTTTTTTTTTTTTTAAGTGAAAGCTGGTTTATTTAGAGAGATACACTTTCTATAGACAGAATACAGCCTGTCTCAGAAGATGAGACCAACCCTTAGAGAAATACTCCGAAGACAGAGTGTGGGCCATCTCAGAAGGTGAGAGGCCCTATGTGCTCTTTAAAGTTAGCTGATGGTGTTTATAAGCACTGATGCTAATGGGCATGAAGGCTCTGTGTCTGCCTATATCTGCAATGCTTGCCCCCAGGAAGAAGCAACTTGCAAATGCAGAATTTTTCATCCCGATGGTTATTAGCTACTCTTAAAAAAACCCCACCTTTCAGTGATCCTCGACCATGGTCACCTTTGAGTTGATGGTTATTTCTGTACAATTATTCTGGTTGCAGCTTCTACTTAAATGGACCTGTTACCACTTGTACATGTCCCAGTGCACAAACATTACTTTAAGATACTTCTTTGAATGTGAATGCATGGCATCCTGCATTGGGGTGTGAAGGTGCTGTAGAGTTTACTGAATACTCAGCTCTGTTAACTGACTTTCTGAATCAAGCCTGATACTATGCTGGATGACTTCTGAATTCCTTGGGATAGTCATCTAACATCCTTCATCCCAGTATTTTCCACATCTTCATCTTATTTTTTTTCTTTTTTGAAACACTTTTTTAATTTTTAAAAGTAAATTTAATTTAAAAATTATTATTATGTGATTATTTCAACAACGGAAAACAAATAAGACATGTGAAATAAAAAGTGAATACCTTTCCCTCCATTTTTTAATGGTTTGATGTATATCCTTTTGGACCTTTCTGTATAAATAGTTATATACGGGTGAGTATAATTCCTACTGCTTTTCTCTGCCAGTCTGCACCTTTTCTGCTTAACAACATAGATGTTTTACCTGAATCTATTGGCAGACCATTTATAGTTGCTTCCAATATAACAGTTGCTTAATTTTCTTTGTATGGATGTGCGTTTTCCAAGACTCATATCCAGAACTCTTCGGATGGGCATTTCAACTTTTTTTTTTTCATATTTGGCTATTAAAAACACTGTTAAAAAAATAAATAAAAACACTGTTGCGCTGATTTTCTCTGTTACTGTTTGTGTGTATATCTTTGTATACACATACAAGTATTTCTATAGAATGATTTTCCAGAAATAGGGTTTCTGGGTCAGGGAATATACCATTAAATTTTTTGATAGGTCTTGCCAAATTTCTCCCCAGAAGTTTCAAACCTGTTAGACTTCTGACTCTGAAGTCTTTTAACCATCTCTCGCTAGCACCCTGAACTCCTTGTCCCCTTTACCCCTTGTCACACAGACGTAGAAGGCCCTCACCCACGCCTGTTTGCGCTGCGTTGCCCTGGGGGTGTGTTGCCACCCACACCTGGTGTTTCTGATCCGAGCCAGGCCTTCTGTCTGTTCCTGGCCAATACTTTACCCTGTCCCACGCTGGCTGTTCTCAGCCTTCAACACTCGCTGTCAGACCTGTGCCCAGCTCTGCTGCTTTGAGCAGTGACCCATCTTGCTGCACGTGTCTGAGGGGTCCCCACATTCTCCTGTGTCTCCTCCTCTCACCTCTTTCCTCTGCCCCCTCTCTTGTGGTCCTGCCGTCACTGCCTTCGCTGGACCCCCATCAGAGCTCCCCTATATGCCAGTGGGAGATTAGTTTATGTATTTGAGGTCTTCCTGCCTCTGGTCTTGTTCACCACAGTCACCCTTCATGTTGCTGCCTGCAAGATCACTCCAGAATACAACTTTAATCATGTTAATCTCTGCTTTGGAATATTTCCGTGGGAGATCCATGGATGCATTTCACGTTCCTTGGTCTGTGTTTGGGCACTTCATCCCTTTGCCCTTACTTTTCCTTCTGGTCTTTTCCCTACCACCACCCAAGGTGGGTCCAGCCAGCCCACCTGCTTGTCTCCTGAACCTGCCTCTCCCTGGGATACCTTCATCCCCATCTACCCTTCAGCCAGATCTGAGCATCTACCCTGCTCAGATTTCTGCTCTCTGAAAATATCTTTGCTTAACTGTCTTCCTATGGCTAAGTCCTTTCTCCTCTCTGCCTGTAGTGCCTTGATTATATCTCTACCCCAGCACTTGCCATCTGGCTGCAGAAAAATTGCATATGTCCATCTCCCCTGTTCAACTGCTTCCAAACACTTAATTCCTAGTATTTTTCAAAAAGCCTGAAATACAGTAGGTGATTAATAGTTGTTAATGAGCCTCAGGTTCCTCTTGTAGCAAGCAAGAATTAATGACTCGCCCAAGGCCATCCAGCTAGTAAGCTGTGTAGTAGAAGCTGCCGGATTCTGTCATCCCCAAGCCTGAAACATCTTCTGTTTGGAGATCAGTTGTAGGACCTCATTCAGTAGAATATGAGTGTTGGAAGAGAAAGAAATCTCTCATTTGTTTAGACGGATTTCCTTTTATCTCTTTCCTCTTAGCAGCAGTTTTAAAACTCTCGTCTCCCCCTTTCTCTAAGGTGTATGGTTGGGGCTACAATGGCAATGGTCAGCTCGGCTTGGGAAACAATGGCAATCAGCTGACCCCTGTGAGAGTGGCAGCTCTGCACAGGGTGTGTGTGAACCAGGTATGTGTGGTGGGCTCCGAGCCACTGCTCCCCGTCTGTCTTCCCTGCTCTGACTTGGAATATCTGTGGGAATTTAGTTCCCGGACCAGGGATTGAACTTGTTCCTTCTGAATAGAAGCACGGAGTCCTAATCATTGGACCCATAGGGAAGTCCCAGAGGTTTATTCTTTAATAAGACTTTTTGAACAGTGCCCCGTGCCTTCATCTGCCACATTTAATATTACATCCTCCCTAAATTCCCATGATGAGAAGCAAGACCATGGTGCTGGCACATTGGTCTTGATAATTTGAAAAGCTACTGGGAAAAATCCAGTAGTCTCAGGTATAGGCTTTTCTAATGCTTTTTTAATGTTCCAGAGAATGTCAGTCCACACCTGATGATGAATTGGCATTCTGCAGGAGCTGGCTGTAATCTTTAAGTAGATGTTTCCCCTGCCCTTCCTGTTCTCCTGTTGATGGTAACCATGTAAATTTACTTGCAGATTGTCTGCGGCTATGCACATACTCTAGCACTAACCGATGAGGGCTTGCTCTATGCCTGGGGAGCTAACACGTATGGGCAGCTGGGAACTGGCAATAAAAATAACCTGCTAAGCCCAGCACACATCATGGTGGAGAAAGAAAGGTAACTTGGCGGTACCATGTCTTGGGATTGTGTGTGCATGGGGACTTGGGCCTGTGTGCGCTGGAGCGCTGGTGTTTGGCTTTGTAGCTCTTCCGTTCATTAACATTCTCACTGTGAACAAAAGAGTGCTGTTTTACCAGTCAGAGTGAACGTGAAGTTGACATGATTCTCATGCAGCTTTCTGAGGTGACCACCTGAAATAACCACTGATAGGCATTCATGCATTTTGGTGTATTGCTTGCAGACTTCCTAGTAGGGTCTGTCACCATGTTGAAATGTAAAGCATATTATTTTCCCTTTGAGCCAGCTAAACTTTTAAATAAATAAAATCTGCCCTTGAAAGGCCACTATCTGTTTAAATATTGATTTGATTTAATGTGTTACTAGAATAGATGCTTAATGTTTGCTGAGCCATAATGAGAGGTCTTGCGCACTGAGCTTTCGGATGTTGGCTTCTAATTCTGGGATGCCACTTAGGAAGCATGCAGAGCAATGTAGTAAGTTTGGCTTGATGTCCGTTTGGATTGGGGTATTCAGAGTCCATGACCCCTGGACCACTGCTTACTCAGCCTAATGAGCCTTCTGAGCCCCGATTGGGGGTAAGAGAGAAAGTTGTATTTGTAGGGAAATGGTTTATTGAATACAGTATTTTTTGCTATTGCTTAAGCCCCCAGAACTGCCAGGACATTTTTTTCAGTGGCTGCTTTACTCATTTACGTTGGTTGCTAGTACGTTTTCCCAGGTTTTCCTCAACAGTATGTATTACCCGTCCTAACCCAGAATGAGCTTCGGGTGAGAAGGGGGCCACCCAGGATGAGCGTAACCCGGAGCTGTTGCTCCAGTCTGTGGGTTTTGTCCATATGACCTGGCAGCTAACGTTCCTGGATCTTGGGCTCTTTGAGGTGTTCGGAGCACAGAACTTTTATTTGCCGTGTGTGGTGCGCTTGGGCCTCTGTGAAGAAAACGTAACGTGCGTTTTTCTTAAAACTCTCCAGGGTGATAGAGATCGCGGCCTGCCACTCGGCGCACACGTCGGCCGCCAAGACGCAGGGCGGCCACGTGTACATGTGGGGCCAGTGCCGCGGCCAGTCGGTGACCCTGCCGCACCTCACGCACTTCTCCTCCACCGACGACGTGTTCGCCTGCTTCGCCACGCCCGCCGTCACGTGGCGCCTGCTGTCTGCGGGTGAGCGCGCCCGGCCGCCCCCGGGCCAGGGCACCGTAAGCCAAGCCGTGGGCTCCGGCGGTTCAGAAAGCTTTAATACGCTTCCCCAAATTAGATTTGCGTGATACTGTTTATTAAAATGCTATGGAATATTCTATGAATTTATTATTTCCTCCTCTTCGGTATTTTCAGTTTGAGGTGAAATTCACATACAAAAATTAACCATTTTTAAAGTATAAAATTCAGAGGCATTTACTGCCTTCACCATGTTGTGCAGCCAGCATTTACATCAAGCTCTAAAGCATTTCATCACCTTAGAAGAAAACCCTATACCCATTACACAGTCACCCCCCATTCTTTCTTTCCCCCAGCCACTGGCAACTACCAATTTGTTTTGTTTTGTTTCTATGGATTTACCAGTTCTAGATGTTTCCCTTAAGTGGAATCTTACTATGTACAACCTTTTCTGTCTGACATCTTTTACCCAGTGCTTTTGAGACCCATCCAGGTTGTAACATAATACATGTCAGTACTTCTTTTTATGACTGAGTAGTGTTGTATTGTATATATAGACCACAGTTTATTTGTCATCTATCTGTTGATGGACATTTGGATGGTTTCCACTTTTTGGCTATTGTGAATACTGTTGTTATGAACATTCGTGTACAGATATTTGAGTGTGTACAAATATTGTTAAGTGCTTTTGTTATACTAAATTTATTATATAATTTACTATGAACCAAAAGTGAACTTAAAGAAATGAAGAACTTGTTAACTTTGTGGAGTTGATTCCCCTTTTTTTCTCCTTTTTTCCTTTCAACCAATCTCAAAGTTTTTTTTTCCTTGGAGGAGAGCTAAGGAGAGGTATTATGGAGGGTAGGGGGACTTCCCTGGTAGTTAAGACTCTGCTCCCACTGCAGGGGGCCCAGGTTCGATGCTGCGAGTCTTGAGGGAAGTCCTCATGTTGGGGGACTTGGAAATGGGTCTCCTGCGTCAATAGTACCTTCATTCAGTGCCAGTGAGGGTCTCTGGAATTTTTAACTTTCCCCGTTAGCCACCTTCTTCCTTTTTTCCTTTATTCACACATGTAAAGCACAAGAAAGTGTTGCATGAGTTCAAAAATTAATGCAGCACAAATAATAATCCTTACACACTGTGCTTTTCCTTACACGCCTTTGCTTTTCTTCATGATAACACAGTTCTACTTATAGGTAAGAATTATATATCCTTGCACCTTTTTATCAGGCAGTGTGACCACAGTTTTGTGAAGCTGCTCCTGTTAAGTACACATTCCTACTAAGTAAATTTGCTGTGCTTTTAGATAGTGTGTAAGGATTATTATTTGTGCTGCATTAATTTTTAAGGTTAAGAAGGATGTTTAGATGCCAGATTCGGAGGGGAAAGGGTCACCCTGGGAAAGAACACCACTCTAGCGTGACCACTCAAGTAAGGAGTGTGTTTCTTAGGACTCCCTGAATTGAATTTACCAACTCGTTGAAACTACCCTAAAAGCAGAGCAAAGGTGTCCAAAGTGCTTCAGTAGAGGAAAACTGATCAATTCTCAGCCTTAGATGAACACTGCTCAAACTTTCGAGAGAAGAGTTTGTGTAAAATGACAATCTATAACTTTTTCTTTTCAAAAAGATTTTTTTTAATGTGGACCATGTTTTTAAAGTCTTGATTGAATTTGGTACAACAGTGTTTCAGTTTTATGTTTTGGTTTTTTTGGATTTTAGCTTCCCGCCTAGGGATCAGACCCACACCCTCTGAGCTAGAAGGTGAAGTCCTAACTACTGGACTACCAGGGAAATTCCCAGAATACACATTTTTAATGTCTAGCTTAGCATGGAAGACCGGTTTTTGGCCTTTCCAAATATACATTTTTTTAAATTAATTTATTTTTTATTGAAGGATAATTGCTTTACAGAATCCAAATATGCATTTTTTCCTTATAGTTTATACACTTGGTGACATTTAGGTATCACCAACTTTTGATCACCACCTTCTCATCTCAAGGAATCAAAAACCACCTCAAGTGTCTGTAGTACCTTCATTCATTGATGACGAGGGTCCTTGGAGTTTTTTGTCTCCCTGTTAGCCCGTGAAATTTAATTTAATTTAATTTAATTTAATTTCTGTGACGTTGATTTTAATACTGGAAAGTTGATTTGTTGAGTAAGGTGTGAACTCTTCTAAGAAAAATATAATGGAATTATCCATCATGTTAGTCACCATCTTTCTGAAGTCTTTCAAAGCTTGATCACCTGTGTTAATGTGCTTGCTTCTGCTTCCTTCAGAGCATGAAGACTTTCTAACAGTTGCAGAGTCACTGAAGAAAGAATTTGACAGTCCAGAAACTGCCGATCTGAAGTTTCGGATTGATGGGAAATACATCCATGTCCATAAAGCTGTTTTGAAAATCAGGTATTTTCTCATGAGTTTAGAGTCATCAGTAACCTTACTCTTTGCAGTCTCCATTTCTTTGTTATTCCACACAGTGGAGACTAATAAGGACTAATCTTGGGAGTTGAGTGAAACAGCACACTTAATAATTTTGCACGTAGTATCAGTCCACTCATTATTGAAAAGTGTATGTTTGTGTGTGCGTGCGCACTCATGTGCCTTTTAGAAAAAACATAATGTGGGATTATTTTTCTGTATTGTTTGTTAAATGAAGTAGCTCATACATAGTTATTTCCATCAAAAAAAATTGTATACAGGTTTAAGAAAATACAAAGGCCCATCAGTGAAAAGTGTATATGTCTTCTTTTAATTAAAACTTCCAGAGAAGGCAGTGGCACCCCACTGCAGTACTCTTGCCTGGAAAATCCCATGGATGGAGGATCCTAGTAGGCTGCAGTCCATGGGGTCGCTAAGAGTCAGACACGACTGAGTGACTTCACTTTCACTTTTCACTTTCATGCATTGGAGAAGGAAATGGCAACCCACTCCAGTGTTCTTGCCTGGAGAATCCCAGGGGCGGGGGAGCCTGGTGGGCTGCCATCTATGGGGTCGCACAGAGTCGGACACGACTGAAGCGACTTAGCAGCAGCAGCAGCAATTAAAACTTCATTTTCCACAAGCAGAAAACTTAGGAATACTGGACTTTCTGGTCCTGAGAGACATCTAATTCCCAGTTGAAGAAATGTTCTCTAAATATGGTGCATGGAAGGAGTTCTTTGTATAAATGTGAGGGAACTTTATATTTATTAATAACTGGATGATTGCTCACTGAGGCTGCCATGCGAGAGAGAGGCACGTAAAATCTGACCATTAAGAGTTAAACTGTCCATTTACGAGTCTTTTTTCAAAATTTAGTTTAACATTTATTTACAAAATAACATGTTTTTAGGGAATTAAAATGCTGTGTCATTCATTATTTTAAGGGAGTAAGTGTCTACACCAAAGTAGTCATTGAAAAGGTGAATGGGAATTGTTTCTGTCCGAAGACCTGTGGTCAGCCCATCAGTCCCTTTCCTGTGTAGTGTTCTGACCGAGTTCATCTATTAACCCTTGCCTAGGCAACTGTAACTTTTTCCCTCTCAGATGAGGTAATTTCCTTTGTAAGTGGAGCCATTCTTTCAGTATTTTGAATGGATATTGAAAATATTCTTGTGTTTTTCTACTGTAACTCATTTTAAAAAGGATTTGAAAAGATGATTTTAAAAAAGAATTATGAAGTGTGTTATACTTTAAGAAAATCAAATATTCAGAAATTAGTTCCTCATTTAGGTGTATCTGTGCGTGTAAATATAATACAAAAAGACCTATTTAGTTTTTCTTCAAATATGTGACTATCCTAGTGAGTGTGCTTTACAAATAAATTGGTAACAGGCTTGGGAGGAGAAGAAGGGGAGCGGATGAAAGAAAAGGAACAAAGTTGGGATGGTGGCTGTTTTGAGGATGAGTCAGAAAAGAAGGAAAGTTGTCATGTATGGTAATGGAATAAAAATCCTTTTGAACGTAATCCAGTTAACTTTTAAAACCATTTTAAGAATGTGCTGATTACGAAAATGTGCTGATGACATACAAAAATTGAATCATTTGAGTGATATTAATATATATCAAAAGTTTGAACAGTCGCTTTTGAGTTTCTTTTTAGTTTCATTGTTTGAAATGCCCTTCTGTATAACATCTTTTAAACAAAACAGGTGAGCAAAAACCTTAATCTGAATGAGGTCTGTCAGATGCAAACAGTGGTACTTGTTGAAGCGCTGGTTACTTTGAGGCTATGTATAATTCTTATTGTTTAATAGGCAATACCTTAAAAAATGAAAGGGAGTATACGTAAAGGTGAATATAAAAACCCTTGCATGTGGAATATGTTTTGGTTCTTGTACGTGGAATGAATGTCCTACTCAAATAGAGTAAACATACCTGTAATACTTGTTTATCCCTGCTTCCATCAACTTAAGTAGGTAAGTTTTGCTGTTCTGTTTCAGGTGTGAGCACTTTCGATCCATGTTCCAGTCTTACTGGAATGAGGACATGAAGGAGGTGATAGAAATAGACCAGTTCTCCTACCCTGTGTATCGTGCCTTTCTCCAGTACCTCTACACAGACACAGTGGATCTGCCACCTGAGGACGCTATAGGTACCAGCCGTGTTGGGACTGGCCAAGACACAGGGTCAAAAGTATTGAGCTCACATTGTGAGTCAGCTGGTAAAGAATCGGCCAGCAATGTGGGAGACCTGGGTTCAATCCCTGGGTTGGGAAGATCCTCTGGGGAACGGAAAGGCTACCCTCTTGGGTATTCTGGCCTGGAGAATTTCATGGACTGTATAGTTCATGGGGTCGCAAAGAGTTGGACACAACTGAGCGGCTTTCCCATACTCTTATAGTTCAGTTCAGTTAGTCGCTCAGTCATGTCTGACTCTTTGTGATCCCATGGACTGCAGCACACCAGGCCTCCCTGTCCATCACCAACTCCCGGAGTTTACTCAAACTCAGGTCCATTGAGTCGGTGATGCCATCCAACCATCTCATCCTCTGTCGTCCCCTTCTTCTCCCACCTTCAATCTTACCCAGCATCAAGGTCTTTTCCACTGAGTCAGTTCTTCACGTTAGGTGGCCAAAGTATTGGAGCTTCAGATTAAGCATCAGTCCTTCCAGTGAATATTCAGGACTGATTTCCTTTAGGATGGACCGGTTGGAACTCCTTGCAGTCCAAGGACTCTCAAGAGTCTCCTCCAACACCACAGTTCAAAAGCATTAGTTCTTCGGCGCTCAGCTTTCTTTATAGTCCAACTCTCACATCCATACATGACCACTGGAAAAACCATAGCTTTGACTAGATGGACCTTTGTTGACAAAGTAATGTCTCTGCTTTTTAATATGCTGTCTAAGTTGGTCATAACTTTTCTTCCAAGGAGCAAATGTCTTTTAATTTCATGGCTGCAGTCACCATCTGCAGTGATTTTGGAGCCCCCCAAAATAGTCAGTCACTGTTTCCATTGTTTCCCTATCTATTTGCCATGAAGTGATGGGACCAGAGGCCCTGATCTTAGTTTTCTGATAGTATTGAAGGATAAAAGGTTTCAGGTTTATTGGTTTTTTAGGTGGTTTTTAGGAATAATTTAAATGCCTTTAGAAACAGTATTGTATTTGGGTGAGAGATAAACTTCCAATTTGGGGTTAATAGATGCAAACTGTTACATACAGGTTGGATAAGCAACAAGGTCCTACTGTATAGCACAGGGAACCATATTCAATGTCCTGGGATAAACCATAATGGAAAAGAATGTAAAAGAGAATATGTTGTTCAGTCGCCAGGTCGTGTCAGACTGTTCACAACCCCATGGACTGCAGCATGCCAAGCTTCCCTGACCCTCACAGAGAATATATATTTGTCTCATGATATGCTCCGGGAGATGGTAAAGGACAGGGAAGCCTGGCATGCTGCAGTCCATGAGGTCATGAAGAGTCAGACGCAACTGAACAACAACATGATAGAATATATGTGTATAACTGAGTCACTTTGCTATACAGCAAAAATTAACACAACACTGTAAATCAACTATACTTTAATTAAAAATTTTAGAAAGTATTATATAGATATCAGGGTTAATAATTATGGACACAGTTTATGACTGTAATCTTATTTTACTCTCTTAATCCTGAAGTATAAGTTGCTGATAAATTGAGCATATCATTTTGGAAACACAGTTAGGGGAAAAATCGATTTTTTTCGTCTTCCTTTGTACTATAGAAGAAACCGTATAAAGGGGGTATAGGAAAGGTGTGTTTGGGAGGTGGGGAAAGGACAAACTAAAAAAGAGAATTTATTTAATAAGATTCAGAGTACTGTTCCCTGAGAAGCTCCTGCTGACTTATCTGTACAACTGTCTTTACCAAAATGAAATATATATGTTTACAGATGATTGGAAACTATTTTCAGCTCCATTAAGCATCCCATACTTTACTTTTAGGTCTTCTGGACTTGGCAACGTCTTACTGTGAAAACAGACTGAAGAAACTTTGTCAGCATATCATCAAGCGAGGAATCACCGTGGAGAATGCCTTCTCACTGTTCTCCGCTGCGGTCAGATATGACGCAGAGGTAATGTGAACAAGCACGCAGAAACACACACCGCCCATAACTCCCCGTGGGCACCTTTCTCCCTTTTTTCTCATGGGACAAGGAGCATGATGAGTGACTTCTCTTCTGTTTAGGGAATAATTGAATGGACTGAACCCTAAAAAAATTAAATCTGGCTTGCTTTAGTCTCTGTTCATGTTTTCAAAAATGGTTGTGTCTCCTATTTCTACCTAAGATAGGAAACTGAAGTCCCAGCAGCTTCACTGCAGGTTGGAATATAAAGAGCCACATCTAATGGGACTAGCAGACGGCATATGATACTTTCAAGTATTTCTCCAGGCGACTTAATATATTTTTTCTCAGGACCCACTGTGCTTTAATTTAGCTCCATCTTTGCCCTGTCATAAGCCAGGGCTGCCCTGTGATTTATACCTGTGTTTGCTCTGAAGTTCTGTCATCATGTAACTTGTCACTCATGGGTATTCATGGATGAAGAGCCTGCCCTGGACTCCTTTTTGTTCGGTTGTTTTTTATACTGGATTGATTCGTGGATCTCTAGAGTCCCTGAGTGAATGGGCTGTTGGGAGCCTGAAGTTCTGTGTTTATGTGCATTTTCTGGAAGTGAAGAGCCACGGTACCATCAGAATGTAAGCTCCCTCTGGGCAGGAACTGTGTGCCTGTGCCCAGCGCACAGGTGACCAGTGTTTGTTGAAGTGAGTGAAGATGGTACCACGGGAAGGATGCATTAAGGATAATTAGAGAACTAAAGGCTGGTATGGTTGGTTTTACGTCTTCATGGAGAATAAAAGTCAAAGAGCAATAGCTTTGACGTTTGAGGCGTCTAACTAAGGTTTGCACCCAAAACGACACGGTTAGTCTTTCATTTTATCATCATGTGACCAGGGAGATCACCTGGTGTCAGAGAATTTACCAGACGCCTGCAAAGATCTGCAGCCGCGGCCTTGGAGATGTGTTGGAGGACAGACTGCATTTTTGCCACATTTGGGTATCAAAATGGACCATTATGTCTTGCATTTTCAAAATGCATCCTGTTTTTATTTCAGAGTATATTATGATTATAAATATTTGATAAGGTCAGATATAGCTGATTTTTTCTGTGGTCTTTTCAACAGATGGGATGTAAATCATTTCTAATAGGAAATAGATGTCTAGTTTTTTCTTACCCTTTCTTTGTCATCGTGAACATCTCTATTTGCAATGCTGTTTCTTCAGATTTTATTTCCTCCCAGTGACATAATTTTAAATTGGTCCCTGACTTTTCATTTGGCGATTAACTTTGAACCTTCTGTGTCTCTCCATACTCCTCCTCAGTGCTGATGAGGTCTGTGTTCTTGGGATAAGGATCTTGCTGACCAAAACCAGTTAGGACCACCTAAGTCACTCAGTCATGTCCGACTGTGTGTGACCCCAGGGACTGTGGCCCCAGGCTCCTCTGTCCCTGGGATTCTCCAGGCAAGAACACTGGAGTGGGTTGCCGTGCCCTCCTCCAGGGGATCTTCCCCACCCAAGGATCAAACCCATGTATCTTTTGTCTAAGCTGCATTGGCAGGCAGGTTCTTTACCACTAGCGCCACCTGGGAGCCGTGACCACTGGGGCAGCAACTCGACTCTAGTTGCTGGAAAGTTTTCTCACCTTGAGCTAAACTCTACCGCAGAAAGTTTACGGAAGATGCCTTATTTCTACCCAGGCCAGCTCATTTCCTTCACTAGTTTTCACTTTTCTGATATCAAGTCCATCAAAAGCTGTCCCTTGTTTGAGACCACAAATGTGCTTTACCAGAGTCTGTCCCAGGGCAGGCGTATAGTTGGCATTCAGAAATACATGCTGAGTTAAATGAACAAATGAACGTATTTGAAACATGTCACCATAAAGTTCTACTTTTAAAAAAACTGTTAAACAGTAACTCATAATCCTGTAAATTTTATGTATTCAATGTAGAGAAATTAGAAAATAGAAGGCAAAAAGCATTCTTTTTAGGTTGTATTATTTTTGATTCTGTTGGGAGTTATATAATTGACTAAATGTACCTTTACGTTTTATTTCCTTAATACTGTAGAATGTAGAAAGTAAATAAATTAATGCTTTGGAATATAAAAATAAAGCCCACTTAATATATCTGTTAGTTGATGGGAAGCTGTTGCTAAGGCAGATTGGAAATCAGCTGTAAAATCTGTTATTTTTAGCTGTTCAGCTTAGGGACCCTACATGACGTTTCTTTCATTCTGTGAAAATGCTAGGAGGGTGGAGACTCCCTGCCTCTCATATTTCTTCTTTTTTCTACAAAAATTACTGTGGTTCCTCCATGCTTCCTTTTGATAAGAGAATTTTGAAGCAAATGTACATACATTAAAAGAACAAAAATGTATTGACTCAATAGTTGTGAAGATTTTTGAAAGTAAGCTAATTGTTGTGGAACCCTTATATTATAGATGCATTGTCAAACTTTCTGCAAGTTTTTAAAAAGTAAAGAAGGACTTAGAGAAAGAACACTTAAATATTTCTATAGTACAGACCTGAATAAGTGTTGATATCAGGGGAGAAAATGTGAATAAAACATTGTCTCATGATAGTCTTGATCATGTTATAGGTATAAGCGTTTTGAAATGCTTCTGTTTATAGCTTCTTTTCAGGAAATTTTTGTTTTCTGTGTCTGGTTGAACATTAGAAGAAACAGTTGGGGAGGGTTTTTTTTGTTTAATCAGAGTAGAGAACTTTCCAGAAAATATTACTTTCTGAGCAGCTATGTCTTAAAATTTTGCTTTTGGTGGGTAGAAATAAATATGAGCCAAGAATCTAATTACAGAATTGATTTTGGGATATGAAATTTTGAAAACTTAGTGCTAATGCCAGATGGTCAGCATTTACTTTTTTTCTTAGGGGGTTAATTAAACAATTTTTGTGATCAGTAGACTACAGAATATTTTTTAAGTGTATGTTCAGTCACTCAGTCATGTCCGACTCTTTGTGACCTTATGGACTGCAGCTTGCCAGCCTTCCCTGTCCTTCACTATCTCTCAAGAGTTTGCTCAAACTCATGTCCATTGAGTCGGTGATGCCATCCAACCATCTCATCCTCTGTCATCCCCTTCTCCTCCTGCCTTCAGTCTTTCCCAGCATCAGGGTCTTCTCCAATGAGTTGGCTCTTCGCGTCAGGTGCCCACAGTGTTGGAGCTTCAACTTCAGCATCAGTCCTTCCAGTGAATATTCAGAGTTGATTTCCTTTAGGATTGACTGGTTTGATCTCCTTGCTGTCCAAGAGACTCTCAAGAGTCTTCTCCAGCACCAGAGTTCAAAGGCTTCAATTCTTTGGCACTCAGCCTTCGTTATGGTCCAACTCTCACATCCATACATGACTACTGGAAAACCATAGCTTTGACTCTACGGACCTTTGTCAGCAAAGTGATGTCTTTGCTTTTTGAAAATTTTTTCCAATATGGTGAGACACTGAAATACTTGCTAAAAAAGAAAATCAAAACCCACTTTGATATGGAATGTTTTTGTATTTGATGTACAGTTGATCCTTGAACAGTGCAGGGGTTGAAGGTGTATAATTTACAGTCAACCTCCATATCTGTGGTTTGTCCAAATCCCTGGGGTCAGTCAGCCTCGGATCCTATAGTACAGTTAGTATGTGCTGTTGAAAAATACCACCCTGGCCGAGTAGTCCTGTGTTTTAGCCTTGGGCTTTTAAGACTGGATAAGAACTCCATTGAAAGCTGCAACATCATTTTAAAATTTGGGTTTTAAGACTGTCAATCTTCCATGTTTTGTTACTAAAGAAAACCTGTGGAAAGAAAAACCAAGTTATTTTCAAAGTGTGTACAGTGATTGGAATAATGAGATGTTTAAAGATTGAGAATGAATTTATAAATGTAGAGTAGCAATATTGTATTTTGATCTTCCTTCCTAATTACAGCAAATCAACTATTTGATCTGCTTCAGAATCACTTTACAATAATTCCACCACAGACTGTCATAAACATGGACTTTGCTTTCTTGAAACACCAAGAATACCATATTATGAGATTCCTTGAATTTATACCCGTGCCCACTTTCATATTTCATAGCCTTGAGAAGGCGCTTAGAAACTTTTTTTACCTCCTGGCCAAATTCTCCTCGTCCTTCTTAGATTTTTTTTTTTTTTTAAGTCCAGTAGTCCTATTACAGTTGACTTACTAGTTGGGTAAAAGTTGCACTTTTTTCCTAGGTAATTGAAGATCTGATCATTTGCATATTGAGCTGAACAAATCATGTAGGTTCTTATGCTATTTAAGAATACTCAGAAGGGCATTTTTCTAATTCACATACCAACATCAGCAGCACACAGGCTCAGGTTGCTGATTGAATCTGCTTGACTGTGCAGCTCTCTGGTTCATGGAAGTGAACATGCAGATTTTAATTCCTCTCTTCAAGTGCGTTCAGTACTTCCTTTTCCGAAGACCTGCCTTAACCACAGTTTAATTAGTTATTTAGACAAGTCAGATTTAGATTACTTTCAGTATTCTTTAGTTGGCCTTTCAGTGTTTGAAACTATTAAACATCTGTTGAATACGGTTGACCCTTGATCAACATGGGTTTGAACTGCACGGGTCCACTTATACGTGGATATTTTTCAATAGTAAATACTACAGTACTGTTAGATCCATGGTTGGCTGAATCTGCAAATATGGAGGGCCAACTGTAAATTACACTTGGGTTAATTATACTTGGGTTGATCCCCCATGTCGTTCAAGGATCAACTGCACTGAGAAATCTCACCAAACTAAATGGAGGGGAAGACAAAGCAATTTGATAAAACTATTTTCAAATATTTCAAATATTTCAAATATATTCAACTATTTCAAAAACTGACAATTTAGAAGCCCCATTTGTATACCTGGGCCTTCCCTGGTGGCTCAGACGGTAAAGAATGCCCGCAATGTGGGAGACCCAGGTTTGATCCCTGGGTCGGGAAGATCCCCTGGAGAAGGGATTGGCTACCCACTCCAGTATTCTGGCCTGGAGAATTCCATGGACAGAGGAGCCTGGTGGGCTACAGTCCATGGGGTTGCAAAGAGTTAGACATGACTGAGCAACTAACACTTTTCACTTTGTATACCTGTACTATATAAAAAAGTTCTTAAAAGTTTATACCCCAGGTAATCTATACAATTAATAAACTGAATAAACTCACTTTTTCATTATACTACAAAGATCTTTAATTCCAAATTAGCAGATACAGAAGTGGCAAGGTGTTTTTTGTTGTTTTTTTTTTTGCACTTTTATTTTGTATGGGGTTATAGCAGAAGTGGGTGGCATAGGATGAGATGGTTAGATAGCATCACCGACTCAGTGGATGTGAATTTGAGCAAACTCCAGGAGATATGAAGAACAGAATAGCTAGCGTGCTGTAGTCCATGGGGTTGCAGAGAGTTGGACACAACTTAGTGACTGAACAGCAACAACAAACAGCCGATTAACAAGCAATGTTGTGATAGTTTCAGGGGAACAGTGAAGGGACTCAGCCATCATACATATACATGTATCCATTCTCCCCCAAACTCCCCTCCCATCCAGGCTGAGAAGTGGTATGGTGTTGCAGTGTCAGAATTTAATTTCGCCTTTGAATTTGAAATTACATAATTAAAATTTAAATACCTAAAGATCCATATCATACGTGACATGGTTTGAAGAACTTTTTATGCTGAGACTGGGTCCTTCTTCCTCAGTTATATGTAGATAAACTAGTTACATATTTTTGATAAATTAAAATGTGACTTTCATCTTTCTATGGACTATAATTTAGTCCCTAGAGCTGTTTATTAACCATTGAGTTATAATACCAGGAGTAGTGCTTTTTCCTGAATAACAATATGAGAGAGAATGTTTTATGTTGTAGGGCATTCAGCTGTCCATTTAGCTCATCAGGAATCTCTTACTTCAAAACAAAACGAAACAAAGCCATGGATCCAGAGACTGTGCTAACAATCTAAATGCATTTTCAATTATCTGGGAATAAAACTCTGACAGCAGCTGGCTGAGAGACTTCAGATGTGGTTTCTCTCTTCCTGGTTATATGACTGGAGGGGGTGCTTCTTTCAGCAAGGGACAGAGAGACTCCTAGAACAAGGAAGCATTTGTTTGCAGGGGTTTGAAAGGGGCATTTCTGTGTGTGAAGCGGCCCTTCCCCCGCTGCCTGATATTCTCATTTGGTGGGAGCTGGGATGCATGAAGCCAAGACCCTACAGTTTAACTGTTGTCAGGATCCTGGTCTGGTAGAACTCTGAATATTGACCTTTAGTATTGCCGGCCAGGTTACAGAAACCGAGCTGTTAGACTTCAACTTTGTGTACATTCCAGGTTACCTAGCTGATTTAATAAATGCTGTTCCAACATTTGAAGGAACAAAGGTCACAGTAGCATTTTGCTGGGATGAAAGCATGTCTTAGCACAGGCAAAAATAGATTCTTAAACTGTTGGTTTGCCACTTGTGTCTGAGACTTCGCCTGTGAATGTTGGTTGCTGGTGACTATTCTCTGATTGACTATCTGAGAGATTAATGTGGTGGCAATTATACTGGATTACTCCTCGTGGTTTAAAAATGAAGACATTTTTATATAGGAGAGCATGAAAGTGATTTTAAGGTCTTTGGAATGTTTATTTAAAATTTTTAAAAATTGTTTTCTAGAATTTTTATTTTTAATGTGTCACTTTAGGTTGACCATTTCTCTTCATCACTTTTCTGTTTCTTAAAGTCTTTTCTTCCCTTGAATCAAATGACCCACATCTTAATGCTTTTTTCTGATGCCTGAATGTAGTAAAACATATGATATGGACTTAAGTTGCTTTCACCTTTTTAAAACCATGTCTTTGAGTGACTGGATTATGTGATAATTGTGAAGAAACTGCCCTCCCCACCCCCCCACCCCCCCCATCCCACAGCTCTGTGTGAGTGTTTTGAAGAGTCAGACCTGAGTAAGGGAACCATTGCTTTTACTGTATGATGAAAAAATAGTTTGTATTTTTTCTGCCTTGTACCTGTGGTCACGTGTTTGCCTAGTTTGAGGTTTCTGGCCTTAGATCTCTTCTAGGGGAGGGTGAGAGCTTTGGGGTGAGGGATCTGGAGAGAAGTAATTCAATCAAAGTTAATTAAAAAAAGGCCTTTTCTTGTTTTTATTTTTGTTGTGTGTGTCCAGGATTTAGAAGAATTCTGCTTTAAGTTTTGCATCAATCATTTGACAGAAGTCACACAGACTGCAGCATTTTGGCAAATGGATGGCCCTCTGCTAAAGGAATTCATTGCTAAAGCCAGTAAATGTGGAGCCTTTAAGAACTGAAGCCCAAGACTGCTGGGTTTTGTGTGAGTGCTCTGGGGCTGGTGAAGGCGTGTCGTTTGTGCTCTATGGGGGATGTAATTCTGCAGGTAAAAAAAAAAAAACCCATCACATATCTTGCTCACATGGGGATACAGTTCTCTGTGTAGGGATATGTGAAGAGTGCATGGCTCTTCCTGAACCCATTTTAAACTATTTCCAGATGTGTATATTTTAAATGTGACCGTAACATTTGACTGGGACATTGTAAAGGGGTGAAAGTTTTGCTGGTTGGTTGTTGTTTTGTTTTTGTTTGTTTTTGATTAGAGGAACTTCTAAAGTTGGAAAGCGGACATTTGTGGCAACTCTCCTGACTCATGTATCAGCAGCCCTTTTGATCCCAGGAGTTGGGATAGTGCACGAATGTGAGAGGCGTAGAGGGCCCCCCACATCCCCCCAGAATGAAAGGTGCTGACTTGGGACTTGGCTGAAGAGCTGCATTAGTTGCTAGGTCTGTAGCTTCACTTTGAAGGGATAGTTAAGATTGTTTGAGGTTTTGTTTGTGTTTTTGCATCATTGATGACTTTTTTTAACTTCAAAATGATATTCAATTTAATATAAACCTATTGAAGTGATAATTACGCAAAGATGAATTTCTCGGTTAAGTCAGGGTTTCTCTTAAGACTTAAGTACATTAAAGAGTAGTAATGTAGAACTATCTATGAAAAATTAATAATGGAAGAAACTTCACTTGGGTGAAGGTGAATTTTTTATAAATCAGAGTCTCCACTTCTGTCTAACAGTGTTTTATTAAGGTTAAATTTGAGAACCCAAATTTCAATGCTCCCACCTTTTCCCCTATAAATGCTAATCATGTAAGAGGATAATAGTGATATGTTCAGCATTCTCTTGCTTCCTGAATCATGGCTGCTGAATCATCAGATTTGCTATGTCTGACTCAAATAAGTAGTTCTTAAACCCAAGTTTCTTACAGGACTTAACAGAGTTTGTTTTTATTGGTTTTTATCTGTGCCAAATACCATCATACATTTTGCTTATTTGAAATTTCACCAGCTTTCACATGTGACTTTCCTTTTGGTTGTGTTAGGTATAATATTTAGCACAACTTAACTTTGAAGAAGGATCTAAATTATAGGGTGAGTGGTCTGGTTATGGAATGGGGCTTTGGGAGTAAGAGTGTTCAGTGTGTGTCTTTTAAGCTTGCTTCATGTGTGTCTGTTGAGCTTGCTTTGAGAACAAGGCTTTGTTCTTCTCTCTGGCCAGCAGACTCATTTCTCTCTGTGGAAGCTCCCTTGGTGAACTGTTTCCTGTTTGGAAGTTCTCCCCTCTAAATTGAGACTAGATACATTTTCAGACTCAAAGGAACAAGAGGGTGGAGAGATGCTGCAGCTACTGTTTTTAGCAAAGTTTCTTTGTGTGTGTTGGCCGGGAAGGGCCCAAAGATGGAAATTCATTGATGGGGGCAATGAACACAAGCCCAGAAATCCCAGCCCCCTTTTCTTGACCGTGTTGCAAGCGATTGGAGCCCAGTGAGTTACTACATTAGGATTATTACTGCAGTATGATAGAATTTTCTTACTAGGTTGAGAAATGTACATTAATTTATTAGCTATGATGGGTAGTATTTGTAACAATCACTGTCATAGGCTTATGATCCGGGCAAAACAAGAACTTCAGTGTGTTTACTATTGCTCTTACTTGAAAAAAAAACACTTTAACAAAAGCACAAATTGATGTAGTATATCCATTTCCGTAGATAGTTCATTCATTCAACAAATATTTGCTGAGTTCCTAATAGGTGAAGAACCACTTCTCAGATTACTGAGTTATTTGTATGAGCATGTATTCAGTGAAGAGAAGAGGAAAAAGTCCTTCAGAAAGTACTTGTGTGTATGTGTTTTTTTTTAAATATGCTCTCTTATTTTTCTACCTGGTTTTGTTAATCACAGCAGGAGATGAAAACTATTCTGAGTTGTTTTCTTCATCTGACATAATTATAAAAGCCGAAGTATTCGTATTTCTTAAAATAGCCCTATAATGTACTCTTGAACTTCTTACTGGAACAACATTTGATACTCTAGTTATACACGTTGTATTTATGCAGTGTTTAGAGTGACATGTTAATAAATAAAGCAATCTGTTAAAATGGGCATCTAGAGTTATCTTTTCCCTCTCAAAAATCAATAACATGCAGCCTTAAAAAGGAAAGAAATCCTGACACATGTTGCCACTTGGATGAACTTTGAGGGTGTTATGCTCAGTGAAATAAGCCAGTCACAAAATGACAAGCCCTGTGTGATGCCACTTACATGAGATCCCTCGAGCAGTCAGGGTAGATGGTTGTTGCCAGGGGCTGGGGGAAAGGGTCCGAGGGGTTATCATGTAATAGGTTCAGAGTTTCAGTTTTGTAAGATAAAAAATGTCCTGTGCACAGATGGTACACAGCAATGTGAATGGACTTAATGCTACTGAACTTAACCATGGTTAATATGGTAATGTGTATTTTGCAATGAAAAAAAAAAAGCAGTACTCTGATTCTTGGATATTAGGCTAAAAGTTACCACCATGAACATTTCCCTGGTGGCTCAAAGGGTAAAGTGTCTGCCTGCAGTGTAGGAGACCCAGGTTCTATCTCTGGGTCAGGAAGATCCCTTGGAGAAGGAAATGGCAACCCACTCCAGTATTCTTGTCTGGAAAATCCCCATGGACAGAGGAACCTGGTCGGGCTACAGTCCATGGGGTCTCAAAGAGTCGGACACAACTGAGCGACTTTCACATTCACTTCACTGTGAGCATGCTGTTTCTCAGCTATCCCCCAACCCCAGAAAATAGACTAGTTTTATTCCTGCTGAAAGACACTACAGTTGAGCCATCACAGCAGAAGAATATTAATATATCCGGATCCTTTGGGGGACTAATAAATGAGGGGTGAGACATATCCCTGTCCTCAAGGAATGTAAAAATTGTTAGGAGAGGGGAGCGAGGTTTAGGAGTAAACACCGTAACAACATTTGTAAACAGCCTTTCCTAAGTCACTGAGAAGAAACCCAGTCGGGTTAGTATGAGAAGTAGCCGTTCTGAAGGCCCTGTTTCTGCAGGGCGGGGGGACACACACAGTGTCCTCTTAGCTCATTTCCAAAACAGGTGAGTGGCCCAAGCAACGGCTCAGAGGTGGGGGCTAACACGCCTTCTATAGCTTTACTGTAAGCAAGCTTGCTTGGTCAGAGTGGAGAAAATAACCCAGGGCTCCTCAGGCAGCAGTGTTGGCAAGGGGAGGGCGTGTGGACACGTGTGGTGTGTGTGTGTGTGTGTGTATGTGTGTGTGTGATATGGATGAAAACAGTTTATCTCCCACGATGCCAGGCACTGTGCCCTGTGCTTCACAAGTATTTTGTCTGTTTTCTGGCTGTGCTGAGTCTTCGTCGCTGTTCTCGGGCTTCCTCTAGCTGCGGCGAGTGGGAGCTGTTATTCTTGGTTGCAGTTGGAGGGGCCTCTCACCGAGGTGGCGCCTCTTGTTACAGCGCACGCGCTCCAGGCGTGCGGGCTCAGCGGTTGCAACACACTGGCTTAATCTGGTTTCTGGAAACTTCCCTGGCCAGGGATCGAACCTGGGGCCCCTGAGCGGGCAGGCAGGCAGATTCTTATCCGCTGTACTACCAGAGAAGGCCCCTAGGTTTTCTTTTTTAATGCCCACATTTTTTGTACCATAAAGTAGGCAGAATTAGGCTCAGATTAAATAGTTTTTTCAGCAGTGACTCTGCGAAAGTGCAAACCCAGGTTCTGTTTTCACTTGTCCAACACTTGCCACCTGATGGCTGCCTAATTCTTGTGGTTCTGTTGTGCTGAGTTACCACTGTGAATGACCAGTGAAATCTGAAAGGAAGGTGGAGGCCAGAGGGTTTTTTAGAAATAAACATCATGACTTGAGAACTGTTAACTCAGATAAGCTTTGCTATCGGATGTAGCATCAGGGAGGCAAGCTGAAGTTACAGCATCATCTAGACCAGGGGAACTCTTTCTTCAGCAGGTCTAAGATGGAGTCCTGGCTTTTTTATTGAGGTACAGTTGGTTTATAATATTAGTTTTAGGTATACAACATATTGATTGAACATTCTTATAGCTTATACTCCATTTATAGTTATTATAAAATCTTGGCTATATTGTGGTACAGTGTATCCTAATAGCTTATTCATTATAAACGTAATAGTTTGTAGCTCGTAATCCCCTAACCCTGTGTTGCCTCCAGCCCCTTCCCTCGCCCCACTGGTCACCTCTAGTTTGTCCTCTGTACTTGTGAGTCTGTTTCTTTTCTGTTATATTCACTAGTTTGTTTTAATTTCTAGGTTCCACATGTAAGTGAAAATAATACAGTATCTTTTTCTCTTATTTCACATACCATGATACCCTCCAAGTCCATCCATGCCATTGCAAATGTCAGAATTTCATTCTTTTTGATGGCTGACTAGTTCACACACACACACACCCTCGCCACACCCACATCTTCTTCATCCATTCATCTTTTGACGGACACTCAGGTTTTTTCCATATCATGGCTATTATAAATAATGCTACTATGAATATCGGGGGATCAAACCCAGGCCATGGCAGTGAAAGCGCCAAATCCTAACCACTGGATCACCAGGGAATGCCCCTATTTATGGTCTTTTTGAGGATAGCCATCCCCACAGGTGTGAGGTGATACCTCATGATACTTTTGCATTTCCCTGAGGATTTAGCAGTGTTGAGCATCTTTCTGTGTGCCTGTTGGCCTATCTCTATGTCCTTTGTAAGGAAGTATCCCTTTTGGTCTTCTATTTTTTAATCAAGTTGGGTTGTTTTTTTTTTTTTTGATGTTGAATTATATGAGCCATTTATGTATTTTGGATATTAACCCTTTATCACTCATATCATTTGCAAATATTTTCTCCCATTCAGTAGGTTGTCTTTTTGTTCTGTAGATGGTTAATGTGTCATTTAAGATCAGTGTTTCCTTACAGATTTTC